TTTTTTAACTCTAGTCGAGGGAACAGGGCACAGTGACTTATGCCTGTAATCCTAGCACTCTGGGAGGCCATCTTGCATTGTAATGTCTCCAAAGCCATGCACTGGACATCTGACCTGGACCAGGTCTCCCTTGGAACACATCTGTTGGCACCAGCATGGTCCAGCTCTCAGCAAAGATCTCCAGGGCAAGATTACCACCCACAACTGACCATTGACTGGTGCTGGTCTAGCCAATCCTCAGAAAGGACCCCCTCAGGAGAAGCCCTAGACCTGGAACTAAGAACTCTAAGAACTCTAACCAGCAGCTAGGGATAAGGTGCATGATGGAGATCAGCCAACTGCACCCGTGACCCTGCTAGGAGATAGCTTGGGTGTGGCTGTGTAACTTAAGGCGGTTCCCACATTCTCCTCAACATGGGCATGTCTACGGGAGCATGACAAACATGCCAAAGATACTGTATCACACCAGTGTGGCCATGGGCAGGGGTGTCTCAGTGACTGAAGGGCGGAGGAAGGCAAACTCCCAGAGAGCAGAGCTGTCCAAAGAGGCAGGAATGTTTGGAGCACCAAAGTAAAGGCTCATTTCTCCTGACTTGTCCTTCTATAGTCACAGATTAGCAAAGAAGTTAGCCCCCTTTTATTTATCCTTTTTTTTTGGCCAGGACTGAGTTTGAACTTGCCACCTCTGTTATATGGGGCCAGCGTCCTACTTCTTGAGCCACAGGCACTGCCCCCGGCATCCAATCCCTGGCTGGGATTCATCACAAAGGAAGGCACAACAGTAAAGAGCTAGAGCTCTAGACACCAAAAGAGCTGGGTTCAAATATACTGTGTGACCTTAAGAAAGTTACTTACCCTCTCTGAGCCTCAGGTTTTTCTTTGATAAATTTCCTGGGTAATGTTCTACAGGGATAATAATAATGCTCAACAAGTAATGATATAATGAGAATGAAAAGGGCTCCTTTGTGTTAAGCACTCTGCCTCACCGCTGGTGCAGATAATGGGTGCCATTTTCATGCTCTTTTTAAAGAGGCCATAACTGGGGCTCAGAGACAAGAAGGAGCTTATGAGTGGCAGGGCTTTTTCAGTCAGATTCCAAAGCCCATGTTCTAAGGACTAGACCTGCAGTACTCAAATACAGTAGTCACCAGTCACACGTGGCTGTTGGGCACTTAAAATACGGCAATCCCAACTGAGATGTGCTATCAGTGAAAAAGATGCTGGATTTCAGAGACTTCGTACAAAATAAAAGTGGATTAATAAGATATGTAATAAATATTTTCTAATACTGATTATATGTTGAAATATTATTTTGGATTTATTGAATTAAATTAAAGATATTAAAATTAATTTCACCTACTTCTTTAGTTTTCTTAATGTAGCAACTTGAAAGTTTTTTTTTTTTAGAGACAGAGTTTCACTTACAACCCTCGGTAGAGTGCTGTGGCTTCACAGGTCACAGCAACCTCCAGCTCTTGGGCTTAGGTGATTCTCTTGCCTCAGCCTCCCAAATATCTGGGACTACAGGCGCCTGCCACAACACCGGGCTATTTTTGTTGCAGTTTGATCGGGGCCAGGTTTGAACCCACCACCTTTGGTATATGGGGCCAGCACCCTACCCACTGAGCCACAGGCACTACCCCAGCAACTTGAAAGTTTTAAATTAAATTTGCAGTTTGTGTTACATTTCTATTGAACAGTGCTGCCCTAGACCATGGGACCTTCAAGTGGGAAGTCCTCTGAATGCCAAGTTGTGTTTTGAATGGTTATAAAAACAGGGGATCTGACTCATTAGGGTGGGAAAAAAGTCAGTGAGAAACAGTCTTGTCTCAGGTCTAAAAATCTTTTAAATGTCATTGCTATCCAACTGGGTAAAGAGCTTTCCTTGCATAACAAGGCCTGGTGGTTGGAAGGAGAATAAAGAGAGAGCTGACAGGGGCCAGAGCAGCCTGACCCCACACATAGTTGCACCAAGGAAAAGAAAAGCCATGTGAGTAATCTGTGCCTCTTTTTGGCTAACCACAAGGGACAAAGGATGAGGAGGGTTATTTTCTGAAGACTATAAAGTTCAGAAAACTGGCAAATTCGGGGTTGAGGGGAGTAAAGGATGTTAAATTTGAATTGCAGATAATCAATGAATAATTTGTAGTATAAATATATTAAAAATATAAGTATAATATAAGTATTATAAGCATACTACAGCCAGGTGTGATGGGTCACATCTGTAATCCTAGCACTCCAGGAGGCTAACATGGATGGATTGCTTGAGGTCAGGAGTTCCACCTTAAGCAAGATGACCCCATCTCTATTAAAAATAGAAAAACTAGCCAAGCAATGTGGTGGGTGCTTATAGGCCCAGCTACTTGGGATACTAAAGTAAGAGGATTGCTTGAGCCCAGAGTTTGAGGTTGCTGTGAACTATCACTCCAGGGCACTCTACTCAGGGTGACAGAGTGAGACTCTTTCTCTCTCTCTCTCAAAAAAAAAAAAAAAAGATAGTATAAGCATACTGCAAAGTTATTCATTGCTTTTCTGAAATTCAAATTTAACCGGATATCCTACATTTTCTTGGGAAAACCTACCAGAGAAGCACTGAGGGCAGCCAATGGAGATGTCACTGGGTGTGCTCAGGAGACAATGTTACATCTCCATTCTGTGGGCTCAGAGGAAGGCAGAGACTCACAAGTGAGGACCTTCCACGGAACCATAGGGACCCTTGAAGACATAGCAACAGAAGAGCCTGACCTCAGAGTCCCCAGACCCTTAGAAAGCCTTTAGCCTCAGGCTATATCAATTTCCACTCAAATAATTAATTATTAACAGAAATAAAGATAAAATGGCAAAAAGTGAAAACATCTACATTCTATAGGTACTAAAAAAACTTGTTCTTTAATTTTATAATCATCTATCATTTATAGGGAATAGTAACTCATTCACATTGCCTTTTTTTTTTTTTGAGACAGAGTCTCACTCTGTCACCCTGGGTAGAGTGCCCTGGAGTCATAGCTCACAGCAACCTCAAACTCTTGGGCTCAAATGATCCACTTGCCTCAATTTCCCCTATAACTGGGATTATAGGTGCCTACCACATTGCCTGGCTAGTTTTTTTTCTATTTTTAGAAAATAGACATGGGATCTCTTGCTCAAGCTGGTCTCAAACTCATGAGCTCAAGCAATCCACCCATACTGGCCTCTCTGAGTGCTAGGATTATAGATGTGAGCCACTGCACCCGGTCCACATGGCATTTTCATAAAGAACTATTTTTCAAGCCAGCCACAGTGGCTCACACCTGTAATCCTAGCACTCTGGAAGGCCAAGGTAGGTGGATTGCTTGAGCTAAGGAGTTCAAAACCAACCTGAATAAGAGTCAGACCCCATCTCTACTATAAAAATAGAAAACCTAGCAGGGTGTGGTGGAGGGCACCTGTAGTCCCAGCTACTCAGGAGTCTGACGCAGAAGGATCACTTAAGCCGAAGAGTTTGAGGCTGCTGTGAACTATGATGATACCATGGCACTCTACCCAGTGCAGCAGAGTGAGACTCTGTCTCAAAACAAACAAAAAAAGAACTATTTTTCAAAAGGATAAAAGGCACATAATACATAGGCTATAATCTCACCCTCTACTATGTGGAAGCAATTCAGCACAGCAGTTGCAAGCCCTGTGGGCCAGCTGCCTATGTTCAAATTCTGGCTCTGCCACTAGCTGAGTGACCTCCAGCAGGTTATCTCCTTTCTCTGTGCCTCAGTTTCCTCCACTGTAAAATGAGACAACAGTATCTATTTCTCAGGGTTATTGTGAGGATGAAATAAGTTCATATATGTACAGCAGAACAGTGCTTAGCATTTAACACTTGAAAGTGGTTTTTAAAAATTAGTTTGCATATTTGTAATATTTAATCCCCATCATCATCAGACATGTCTAGGAAAGGGTAAAAAATTGTACTGTAAAGTCCAAGGAGACTTGGGTGGCCACTGCACCCCAGGAGATGGTATCCCCTCATCTCCATCTCCTCTCTGCCACAGTAATGAATCTGGTTCCTTTTCACCCTCCTCCCCAACTCCACTAGGAAATCCCTGACTGTGGAAATTCTGGCAGCAGAGTAGAACAAGGAGACAGGTTTGAGGGTCACACCCAATCCTCCCTTCTTCATGCTGTGGTCATCTGAACCTTTTCCAAAAGGGAGCTATCGTCATCTCTCACCTGGGCCACAGGAAAGCCCCCAACTGGTGTTTCAGCTTCTTCTCTCACCACCCCATCAAAATCTGCTGTCCCCAATAGCCAAAGCGATCCTTAAAAAACCTAAATCAGACCATGTCAAAACTGTTCATTGGCTTTTCACCACCCTTAGAATGAAATCCTAGCTCCCTACCCTGGCTTGTAAGGCTCTGCGTATCAGGTCTCTGCTTGCCTCTTCTATCTTATCCCTTCACTAATTCTCCTGGAGCCACATCAACTTCCTGTCTGTTCTTCAAACAGTACAGGCTCATGTCTGCACTGGAACCTTTGAACAATTAAACTCCCTATTACCCTCCGGATATTTTCAAGAGATAAGATTGGACTAAATATTACTTGAAGTCCCTGATGGCTCTGAGCTGCTGTGTTTCAGAGATCCCAAAATAGACTTCAACTATGCTGCATTCTCCTGGAACTCTGGAGACAATTCAACGATGACCACTTGCTGAAGACAATTCCACAGGAGTCTAAGACTGACAATTCTCTAAGTCTTTTGCTTACCAATTAGGTACACTTGTTCCTCTTCCTTGGAGGCTGTCTCTTGCAAATCATGAAGAAATCTGCTGTTCACCTTGATGATATCATCAATGTTTGAGAACAGGACATCTAGATCTCCCTGCGGCAGCTGGAAGGAAGAAAGAAGCTTGAAGTCACTGTGAGTTTGGCAGAGTGGCTGTTATTTGTAGATTTTGGAGAGCAGTACGGAACGCTCACATTATCAAGGTCTCAGTGGCATTTCTGTGTTTCCGAATTTTATAAATTAGATATTTTCATTACTCCACAAGAAGAGAGGAAGAGATAGGGTACTCAGCATGGAAGGAAAGCTGAACGAGGGTTTTAACCTAGGTTGCTGCCAGCTACCATTTTTCTTCTCTTAGTTTTCTCATCTGTCATCTGAAGGTGGGAAGGAAGACTTCTTTCCAGCTCTGACATACTTGGTGCCTACCACTACGACCTCAAGACACAGTCTAAACTCCAGTTCCAGGCTGGGTGCAATGCCTCACACCTGTAATCCCAGCACACTGGGACGCTGAGAGCAGAGGATTGGTTAAGCTCAGAAATTCAAGACCTGTCTGAGCATGAGCAAGACCTTGTCTCTATTAAAAATAGAAAAATAGAAAAAATTATCTGGGCATGGTGGGGGTGCATCTGTAGTCCTAACTACTTGGGAGGCTGAGGCTGAAGGATCACTTGAACCCAAGAGTTTGAGGTTCCTGTGAGCTATGCAGATGCCATAGCACTCTAGCCTGGGCAAAAGAGTGAGATTCTATCTCAAAAAAATAAATGAATATATAAACTCCAGCCCCTATTAACCAGGCTATACCATTGTTAAAAAATATATCAGCCTGAGCAAAAGTGAGACCCCATCTCTACTAAAAACAGAAAAACTAGCAAAGTGTTATGACAGGTGCCTGTAGTCCCAGCCTACTCAGGAGGCTGAGGCAAGGGAATTGCTTGAGCCCAAGAGTTTGAGGTTACTGTGAGCTGTGATGTCACAGCACTCTACCCAGGGCATAGAGTGAGACTCTGTCTCAAAAAAAAAAAAAAAAATGCATGGATGGAAGTGGAACACATTATTCTTAGTAAATCACAAGAATGGCGAAGCAAGATTCCTATGTACTCAATTCTCATATGAGGACAGTTAATGACCTAGTACATGGTGGGAGGTGGGGGAAGAGGAGAGTGGAGAAAGGGAAGGAGGGAGGGAGGTGGGGGAGGGAGAGCAGCGAGAAGGAAGGAGGGAGGGGTGGGTAAATGAAAGAGCAGAGAGAGGAAAGCAGGGAGGAGGGTGAAGGAGGGGAAGAGTAGAGAGGAAAGAAGGTGGGGTGGGGGCGCATGGTGCGTGACACACCTTTTGGGGGCAGGACACAATTTTAAGAGGGAATTTATCTAACAAATGCAATCAATGCAACCTGGTTCTTTGTATTCTCAATGAATCTACAACAGTAAAAAAAAAAGAAGAAGATATTAAGACAAAAAGAGTTCAGGATACATATACATATGCATATACATATACACATACACATATATATGCAAGCACACGGACGAGTATGCTGGACACATTCAAGGGAGAATGCTAACTGCAGAACGATATCTGAGTATGCTCTTACTTTTGTTAAAACAAGTAACAATATATGTTTGTTTAATGGCTAGAGAAATAAATCCTAATTTATGGAGGATGAAAAAGAAGAGGTCCTTTGCCTTCTAAATTGTCTACTTTAGGGCAGTGCCTATGGCTCTGCGAGTAGGGCACAGGCCCCATATACCGAGGGTGATGGGTTCAAACCCAGCCCCCGCCTAACTGCAACCAAAAAATAGCTGGGCGTTGTATCGGGCGCCTATAGTCCCAGCTACTTGGGAGGCTGAGGCAAGAGAATCGCCTAAGCCCAAGGAATTGGAGGTTGCTGTGAGCTATGACTTCACAGCACTCTATTGAGGGTTAATAAGTGAAACTCTGTCTCAAAAAATAAATAAATAAATAAATAAATTACCTACTTTAGTATTTTATTTATTCAAGAAATACTAATTGGAAGTCCATTATTTATGTGTCAAGGTGGGGACATGCTGTATAGTGAACTAAGTAGAACATTTGCCCTTATGGAGCTCACATGCTAAGTGATGAAATTTTATAGAAAGAGCCTGTATTATTTTTGTTAAAGACGTTAAAAATGACCACCATAGGCTCGGCGCCTGTGGCTCAAGCGGCTAAGGCACCAGCCACACAAACCTAAGATGGCGGGTTTGAATCCCCAGCCCAGCCCGCCAAGCAACAATGACGGCTGCAACCAAAAAATGGCCAGGTGTTGTGGCGGGTGCCTGTAGTCCCAGCTACTTGGGAGGCGGAGGCAGGAGACTCGCTTGAGCCCAGGAGTTGGAGGTTGCTGTGAGCTGTAATGCCATGGCACTCTACCCAGGGGGATAGCTTGAGGCTCTGTCTCCAAAAAAAAAGAAAAAAAAAATGAACACCATAATGGAATTCCATCATAGTATTAATTTCTCCATGTTGCCACCTGGCAAATGAGACCATTAGAATGTAGGTCAGTTTAAGCAGTCTATTCTAAACATGAGAAGGGCTTGCCCATTAGCGTACTTAATTCTCGGACGTGATTATTCCTCTCCCCATTTAGCAGAGGAGACACTAACATTTTAAGCCATCAAAACCCTAAAGGCCACATGGCCAATAAATAGACGTCCTGGGACTTACATCCGGGCCTGTCAGATTCCACATCCACCATGCTTCCTTTCCATCCAGCCTGCCCCAGGAACAGATGTGAGGTCTCACGTCTGCTCCCATAAAGACAAGCTATGTGTGACCCCTCCAAATACCTGCTGGAGGCGGCTCCTGATGTCAGCACAGAGCCGGAGCATGTGCAAGTAGGAGACCTCAGTGTCCATGAGCTCCTTCACAGCCAGTTTCTGATGAAGCAATGATCGGTCTTCAGAGACCTGACCTTCCTGGTCCGGACTCCCCGACCTGGAGGACGGCTCAGCTGCCCCATGATCGGCCATGGCAGAGGGCTCTGGGAAAAGCAAAAACATCCCAACTGACTTCCAGGGGCACTACTGGAACATGCTGTCTTCAATTTAAAAACAACTATCCACCAGGAGGCCTAAAAACATCTTTACCTGGAACTCGAGTGAAGATGAACTGTGATTAGCATTGTGGGCAATATCTGACCAATATTAAAAGGTAGACAACACTCAGATAATTCATTTCCCAGAACTCAATGTGCTCGCCTGGCTTTTCTTCTATTTCCTCTCCAGCTCTTAGCCAGATTTCTTTATCTAGCTCACATTAAGTCTCTTTCACCCTCTCCCCCAGTGGTTCCTTCTTTCATACCTCCCCACCCCATTTAGGGGCTGTACTACTCTACATCTGAGCTATTTCCACAGGCTCCAGGATCATCTTTCCTAATCCAGACCCCTCTCTGTCCTGATGGCACCACACCCATTCTTCCTGGACATGCTTCTAAACTCCCTGAAATGAAGCTTGTGATCATGGTATGCCCTGCTATAAGACTAGTAGCTCCCTGCTGCTCAGTGGTCCTGCCCCAACCTCGTTTCCCCCATCACAGACTATCCTCCAGCAGAAAGGGAGCTGAGAGCTTTTCTCCAGACTTGCACTGGAACTTCTGCCTGGTGCCATGACACCTGCTGTGTCTTCTCCATGGGGTTGCTGTGAGCTATGATGCCATGGCACTCTACTGAGCATGACAAAGTGAAACCCTGTATCAAAAAAAAAAAAAAAAAAAGAAAGAAAGAAAGAAAAAGAAATTCCTTCACACAAACACAAGGACAAGAATGTCCACAGTAGCACTGGTCGTAGTAACAGGAAATTAGCAATAATCCATATTTATCCAACAGGACAGTGGATAAATAACTTGTAGTAAAATCACATAATTATATCACTAAATTCTGAATAGTGAAAATGAAAAAACTATATATGCATGTACCAACATGAATATTCCCACAAATATTATTATGAAGGGGAACAAAAGCAAATCTTAGAAGGCTACCTAGGGTATGATACTATTTTTAAAGTTTAAACTATATAAAACAATGCTGGCTATTGTTTAGTGATACATATATATGTAACACAGATATCAAAATTTTCAAGAAAATGAAAAGCGATAAATTCAGGATAGCAGTAACCTATAGAAAGGAAAGCAGAGGAATGGAAGAGAATATCAAGGGAATCCTAATGTTATTTGAGACTTCTTTTAATTGAACTTTTTATTTTAAGATCATTATAGATTTACATGCAGTCATAAGAAATACACAGAGAAGTTCCATGCACCCTTAGCCCAGTTTTCTATAGGGCAACACTTGCAAAACTATAGTACAGTATCACAAACAGTACCTTGACCTTGATACAGCCAAGGCACAGACAATTCCATCATATCCCTCATGTTGGCTCTTCATCCTTTTCACTCCAGCCCCCAACCTATCCTTAACCTTGACAACCAAGAATCTTTTTTTCCTTTTTCTTCCCCTTTTTTATTTAGTCTCCATGGAGAATGTCAAAAATTGCCAATGCTGATTATATTTCAAGTTGTCGTGGCGGGATATTGGGAAAAGTTTTCAATTAGTAATAATCGCACCTCAGATAAACCTCACTGACTACGATACTGCCACTGAGAAAAGCTCATACCTTTTTTCTACTTCTATGATTGTATCATTTCAAGAATGTCAGGTAAACAGAATCATACAGTGTATAACCTTTTAGAACTAGCTTTATCCATTCACCATTATTCCTTGGAGACTCATGTAAGTTGTGTATTTCAATGACTGTGGTTCTTTCCTTTTTATTGCTGAGTATCTGAGCTGTTTTATTTGTTTCAAAAACTGAAGCAAAAACTATGCCAAAAATGTTAAAATGAAACAAAGCTAGGAGGCAAGTACATGGGTATTTGTTATATTGTTCTTTGTTATTTTCTGGATGGTTAAAATACCTCATAATATTTAAAGTGGCACACATCCCATGCAACCTTATACTCAGGTTATTTGTGGCTATGCTTATTTTCTTGGCTAGATACTAAGTTCCTAGAGGCAAGATGTATACCTGTTCATATTCTGTCCTCCTCTGTACCTCACAATACCAATGATTAATACATATTTTCAGCCCAGTGTGGTGGCTCACGCCTGTCTATAATCTCAGCACTTTGGGAGAATGAGGTGGGAAGATCACTTGAGGTCAGGAGTTCCAGCTCAGCCTGAGCAACATCTTTAAAAAAAAAATCAGAAAAAATTAGTTGGTGCTATACTCCTATAGTTCCAGCTGCACAGGAGGCTGAGGCAGGTAGATTACCAGAGCCTAGGAGTTCAAAACTAGACTAGCCAACAAAGGGAGACCCCCTCTCCACAAAAAGAAAAAAAAAATTAGCCAGGCATGGTGGCACATGCCTGTTCTCCTACCTACTGGAGAGGCTAAGACAAGAGGATCACTTCAGTCCAGGAGTTTAAGACTTCAGTGAGCTCCGATTACACCCCTACACTCCAGGCTGGGCAACAGAGCAAGACCCTGTTGTCTAAAATAAATTAAAAACTAAAAACTATTTTTTTTTTCTGAAACAGAGTCCTCAAGCTGTTACCCTGGGTAGAGTGCCATGGCCTCATTACAGCTCACAACTATCTCTAACTCTCGAGCTCAAGTGATCCTCTTGCCTCAGTTTTTCTATTTTTAGTAGAGACAGGGTCTTGCTCTTGCTCAGGCTGGTCTTCAACTTGTGAGCCCAAGCAACCCACCCACCTTGGCCTGCCAGAGTGCTTGGATTACAGATGTGAGCCTACATGCCTGGCCTAAAAAATAAAAACATTTAAATTTTAAAAATTAATTTAAAAACACACATTTGCTAAATAAATGGTTCTTATGGATGTATTAGTAGTTGCTGAAGTTTCTATTTTGGGTCATAAGCACCAAACTATGGATCAGAGAGGTGTCTGGGGAAGGCAGGGTTGCTCAGGAGGCAAAGGGCTCAGACAAATCCTGGGACAAATCTATCTGATGCACCACTCTAACCTAGCTCCTAAGCTCTTCCTGCTGTCTGTTCTTCAGTCCCTAGCCTGAGTCACAACATTTCCTACCTTGTGTACAGCTTCCCTAGAAAGATCCCTATAGAATTCCAGGAAGGCTATTCAGGTTCCACAACTCAGAACTATTGCTAGATAAACAAAATCATAAGTAATATTTTACAGAGAACTGCTAAAAACTTACAATAGCATTAATTTGCACTTAGGTTAATTGCAATCTAGAGCCCCAAGCAGGCTGCAAAACCTCTCTATAACAGCATTTTGTTATCCCTTAGTTTAAAGCCTGTGTAACAAAAAGAAATACATTTTATTTCTTTAAAAATAT